TACTTCTTTTGTATGTGTGTCTTGTCTTTCTACTTGAATTTGGGTACTAGCATGTTTCTGAAGAATTTCTGAATTACATTTGATTTATTTGAATTCTTATGTTCTTCTTGAGCTCCTCACTCTGGCACAGGCTGAGAGGTGGCTGATTCTTGACCAGTGCATAGAACTGGTATGTCACAGTGCTGTTCAGCGCCCTCTGTGGTGCTGAGCCCTGAGGACCAGGGCCTGATGAGGCAGATAGAAAGCACTGGAGTATCTTATATTGCAATTGATGTGCATTCAGAAGCTCTGGAAAATCCGTGGCTCTCACCACCAGATGTGCAACCTACATCTGTTTCCGCTGCTTACATTTTGGGTGAACTGTGTTGAAGGAATACTGCTTTGTCTCAAGGTAAAATGTGTTGAACCAAAGTTATTTTTCCTCTAATGTCTGTAACGATTGTTTGCTTTAGTACATGCTTTCAATCTCCTCTAGATTTTTTTTACCTTGAAAATTTAAAAAATATATTTTTATTGATTTCAGAGAGGTTGGGAGAGGGAGAATGAGACAGAAACATCAATGATGAGAGTCATTGATCAGCTGCTTCCTGCATGTCCCCTACTGGGGATGGAGCCTGCAATCTGGGTATGTGCCCTGACTGGGAATTGAACTGTGACCTCCTGATTCATATTAGGTAGATTGACATTCAACCACTGAACCACACTGGCCAGCTCTTGAATTTTTAAAATTTTATTTTTTATATTAGTTTATTTTCAGAATTTATTTTGCATTGGTTGTAGGTGTACAGCACAGTGGTACAAACAAATACTTTACAAAGAGTTCCTTCTGATATTTCCTGTTATCCACCTGGCACTATATGTACAATCTCCTCCAGTTTTACAGACTGTCTTGGATGTTGATGATGTGTGTGACACGTTCAGTTGAAAAGCAGAATGTTGCCGAAACCAGTTTGGCTCAGTGATAGAGTGACGGTCTGTGAACTGAAAGGTCCCAGGTTCGATTCCAGTCAAAGGCATGTACCTTGGTTGCGGGCACATCCCTAAGGTGTGTGCAGGAGGCAGCTGGTCGATGTTTCTCTCTCAAAGATGTTTCTAGCTCTCTATCCCTCTCCCTTCCTCTCTGTTCAATAAAATATATTAAAAAAGAAAAAAGAAAAAAGAAAAGCAGAATGTTTAGCACGTTCTTCATAAGTCTGTTGTGCCCTCAGACAGACACATGTAAGACTCTATCCACATTTATTTTGCAACCATATCTTGATTCATCTTTCCTTGACCTATAGTAATTGAGTATCCCTGGAATATCTTAGTTAAATCAGACTTGAAGCTTTCTGCTTCCCTGTGTGCAAAATATCCTGTCCAGTGAGCCACACTATGGCCATGATTAATTGTGATTGTAAATGTACTTCTGAGGTGTGTCCATCCGTGAGGATTATGGCTCAAATGGTGCTGGCACTGCAGAGTAGTAAGAAGCATAATTATGATCATTTTCTTCATGTTTAAAAAAAAATCGTTATTGAAAGTAGTACATATGTCTTTTTTTTTTTTTTCTCCCATTAACTCCTTATAGTTCGCTCCTGCCCCTCCACCTTTTCCTCCCCCCGGCTCAGGCCTCCACCACCCTATTGTCTGTGCACATGGATTATGCATATGTGCATACAAGTTCTTAGGTTGATCTTTACCCACCCATTCTCACCCTCCTTTCCTCTGAGACGTCACAGTCTGTTCCATGCTTCTATGTCTCTGAGTCCATTTTGTTCAATAGTTTATTTTGTTCATTAGATTCCACATATGAGTGAGAGCATGTCATACTTTCTCTGACTGGCTTATTTCGCTTAGCATAATACTCTCCAGTCCCTCCATACTTCTTTTTTTTTTTTTTTTTTAAACTATTACACATGTTTTGTTTTAGAAGATAGTAGCACTTCATGTGTTAAAAAATAAATCTGTGACTTATCTCTCTTCCTTCATATTTTAAAATCTCCTAGTAGCTTAATTTGAGTTTTCATAGACAAAGCAAAATCATCCTATTAAAGACCTTTAATCCTGTTGTCATTAATGATATTCATCTCTAGAGATAATTTCCATATTTTGGGGGACTTGTAAATTTTTAGAAATATTTTCTCAAGGAATACATTTAGAGGTAAGGATATTTCAGGTCTTTTCTCCCCAGTTAACATATTTTAAGTGCATAAAATGGTATTATTAATTAAATAACATTTTCAAACAACCAATTAATAATGGATTTTTCTTTTTAAAATTTATCTTTATTGTTGAAAGTACCATTTTCCTCCCATTAGTCCCTTCCATTCCCCCAGGCCTTCACCACAATAATGGATTTTTCAAAGCTAGTATTTGGAAGTTAGTTTTGTAAGCTTTTGATCTAAAACTATTATCTATTGAATTTATGACAAAAGATAAAAAGAGATTGAGAAAATAATGGTTTAATTATAAAAGTTCTATAATTTTGGAGTTTTTGGTACATTTGTCCTTATTATGCTCAATTTTTTTCTGGATTAAATTCATGTTAATTTAGTCCTCTAAAATTTTCGTGGACATGTAGAAATGTATCTCTGTTTATTAACATTGTTAATTTTAGCATTTATTTTCTGTCTAGGGCATGATGGTGAACATCTGTTAAAATTTGTTGTCAGTATCAAAGGTCAGATAACATGTTTTATGGTGATAGTTTCTATAAATACTTACAATTTCATATGAAACTAAGGAAAATGTCCTAAGATAGGCATTTCTCATTGGTCAAATCTTATGTGGCTCAATTCATGGCCTTGCTTGCTTAGTTGAGTGATACACATGGTTACAAGATTGTACTTTTATCCCAATGTTGCCAAGCTCTAGTTAGTGGGAGGATCTATGCTCATCTTGATTTGTATAAGATCCAACATGCAAGTTCCTATTATTGGTGCCAGAGATAGGGTTCTTGTCTTTAATTATAGGTCTTGAATTTGGGATTGGGCAGAGACAAACATTAGCAGTTTTATAATAAGCTTGATAGTTAAGTTCATCATGATTATTAATGGTTAAAAATCTATTGAATTTATAATATCTAACCAGCAAATATGGATTAAGGCTAAGATGCCAACTGCCCATTGTTCAGTCCCATTATTTTCAAAATGAGAAACCTGTGCCTTTTGTCAGGAATGGATGCCTTCACTGAGAAGGAATTTAGATTTCTTCTTGGTTGGCCAGGGCTAATTCCAGAAACAGGGGAGCATTTTTAGAAAGTGTTAGGATTATATTAGAAACAGATGGGCATTCAACACCTACACGGAATGCTCTATGGAATAACTGAGTTTGAGTTAACAAAGGATCAAACTTAAAATACCAAGTTTTATACAAAAAACAAAACACAAAAACTTACTTTGCAATTTAAGAGGAATCAAAAATAAGAAGTTCTACTATTTGTTTCTCTCTTGATGCTCTTGTTAGAGACATGGTATTATCACCTGATTTCTGCCTCCTGATTTTCCTTGTTTTCTATATCCACACATTCCTTTGGAAATATGCGTGGATTTGTGTTAATACCACTAACATCATTTTGAGGATTTTTTGTGTTTTGAGCGATATATTTCATCTTTAGGATTTTGGGTGGGTCTAGTTTTAGAACAGTGTTTTGGTTGGAATGATGAGGCTCTGGGTCTCAGCAGGCTGTAGGGTAGGAAAAGTTGAAACTTACAGAGAGAGCAAATAAACATGTCATCCGAGCTGGGAATTAAGATCTGTTTATTCACCTGCACCCTTGAATTAAAACTCAAAGCAATAGGCAGAGCCATTTGACTTATTACAATCCTGGCAAAATAAATTACCTTGGTCAGAAGGTCTATTCTTGACTGACTTTAGATTACAGAGATTGGTATAGTCTCCATATTACAGATGAAGAAGTTTTTCTTAAATTGTTAAGTTATTGATTTACAACAAGAAGGCAACTAGGGTACTAGACTCTGGGCATGGTTAGTTCAAACGTCTATTTGCGGTTTGGAGCCTGAAGCTTTAAATTGCAAATCCTGCTCTTCAGCACCGAGGAGCACTGTTAATGACTAAAGAAGATTGGGGGAGAGGAAGAGTGAGCACTTAGGTGGGTGTGGCTCACATCAGGACTGTTTAAGAGAATTCCACATCTGTAGGGGTTATAAAGATATCTAAGATAGAGACTCAGGTAAGTATTCCCTAATTCGTTTTCACTAAGCCAGTCAAGGTTCAAGTATATAAATAAAGCAATGCTTTTAATGATTTAAGAATAGCTTTAAAAAATGTGAAGAACAATTTGTTGACTCTTTAAGCTTTGTGATCAAGATGAAAGTTGGCATCTGATACATGAAAACAGGACAAAACAGAAAGCCTTTCATTTGTGTTGATTCTCCTGGTTCTGTAATTCTCTGTTCTCCTATGGAGTGTGATTTATGATGATAAAGGGCTCTTGGGTCACTTCTGAACTGAAAGTAAGTGCAGCTTCAGCTTTAGATTGTGATGACTATGGTCCAGAGAGCCTTTGTAAGCCCGCTGCTATGAATGTAGATCTTCCAAAGCCTCTCTTAATGAAGCAAAGTTTGGGATTTGGGTATCCTTGATATTGCCTCTTCAAATATGTAGTGAAACTGAAGACCAGGAAGCACTCAGCAAACTCCTCCTAGACATGTTCCTAAGGTAAAGGCGTTCTCTTTCACAAAAGAGTCATAAATTACTTCTCCAAATACCATGCCACAGGGTCTTTGTGCTTGAGGTGGGCTCTGTTCTTACACAACCTTGAAAATGACAATGAGTTGGGTTCTCCCCAGTCACCACCTCTTCTGCCAAAGCCATTTCATCTCTTGTTTCTGGCTGTGCATTAATCATTTTTCTTGGGGGTGGCAGAGGTTATCTTGTTTGGATTTTCTATGTGATGAAAATAAAAGAACAAGAGATACTTGCCTACACAGCATATCGTATTGACCAGCCTCATCCGATTTACATGTAAACATGCTTTCTGTTTTTGTTTTCTTTTACAGCTAGTTATGTATCAAATCCCACTTGCAAGGGTTGCTTGTCTTGTTCAAAGGACAATGGGTGCAGCCGATGTCAACAGAAGTTGTTCTTCTTTCTTCGAAGAGAAGGCATGCGCCAGTATGGAGAGTGCCTGCATTCCTGCCCATCAGGCTACTACGGACACCGAGCCCCAGATATGAACAGATGTGCACGTGAGCATTTGACTTTTGTCTACCCTCTTTTACTGTTTATGCAACATAGGGGAGTTAAGTTGAAATTTTTTACTACAAGGATATATCTTTAACATATAAATATTAAAGAAAAATGTAAACTTCAAATTTAAAAAAATTGAGTGGGTTGAGGTAAGAACACTTTAAATATATCTTTTGTGGCGAAGTATATTGCACACACTTTTTAAAGATTAAGTAATTTTTTTTATAACAGTCATCTCAATACATAAGCTACTTAGGCAGATCTTTGTAATGCTTATGCAGCACTTAAAAAAAAAGAAAATAAACTTAAATACCTTTTGTTTTTTTAACTGGGAATGTTTTTCCCAGTTTATCCCACAGTATCTGTAGCTTATTTTCTCTCTTTTGCCTGAATTTGTAATACCTTAGTTAGTCTAATGTTAATTTAGTACATTCATTTTGAAGTTCTGTAAAGCACCATTACTGATAAAAGATGTAACTAAAATATTTCATTTACTTCAAAGTATTCTAACTTTAACAGCTACCAAAAAAAAAAAAAAGCTTATTAAGAAATAGCATTTTAACATACATATATGGGAATGCTGGTGCAATTTTTCATCTTTTAATCCAAAAATCATTCATAGATACTATAAAACAGTAGAAATTAGAGTTGAAAAAGGAATAACCACTTATTAAAGGAGTTCAAATTCTAGGGAATAGAGGGAATAAGGAGAAGGGGAACATGGAGTGAAATAGAAGGTGGGTAAGAAGTTTGATCATAATTTAATACACTGTGCTAATCAGCAGGCAGCCGTTGTGCTGTGGGAATGATTTAATTATCTCCCATTAAAACGCTGTGACTATTAAATCAGTTATGCTCTTTGGATAAGAAGAGAGCTTGAATTGTATCATCCAACTACAATATTATTTTGCAAACCAATGGAGGGGAGGTTAAATAGATTCTAGGAAGAAGGAGCCACATGTGTAAAAATAATGTGTTTGGCATTTTGGTAAGGCATCTTGTCCTACATTGTTGGGCCTTTTTTATCCTTAGTCTATGCTCACTAAATGTCTTGTGTGCCCTCAAATCACTGTGACAAGCAAAAATTGTCCCCAAACATTTCTAGACACCTAGGAAAGCAGTACCATCTTTGGGATGAGAACCATTGAATAATATGATGTGCTTAATGGGAAGTGTGGTTGGAATTGGGGATAGAAAGTGGAGTTTGAATGTAATTGATAATGACCTTGAGTACCATGAGAAGAGATCTGGATATTTTCTGATGGTTCTGAGCAGGAAATGGACTAAAGAAATGGTTTTATTTAAGATAATTCTGACAGAAGTGAGGGAGATGAATGAATTGGAGAAGAACAGAAAGTACAGGAAGGATACTTTAACAATCAAGAATTGGAAATAGTGTTCTGATGAAAGGTTTGTGGGTAATGAATTCCAGAGACTTTAAAAATAGTCAATGGAATACTATTCAGCCATTAAAAAAAAAGGAAATTTTACCTTTTGCAACAGCATGGATGAACCTGGAGATAATTATGCTAACTGAAATAAGCCAGTCAGAGAGAGACAAATGCCTTATGATCTCACTTATATATGGAATATAATGAACAAAATAAACTGACGAACAAAATAGAAACAGAGGTACGGTCATAAGGAACAGACTGACAACTGTCAGAGGAGAGGGGGGTGTGGGGGCTGGGTGAAAGAAGGTGAAGAGGTTAAGCAAAAAAAAACATGAATATCACATGAAGACACAAACAACGGAGTGGTGATAGCCAGAGAGAAAGGGGGTGGGGGTAGGTGGAGATGGGCAGAGTGGGAGAATATGGGGACAGAAAGAGACTTTGGAGAGAAGGGCACATGATGCAGTGTGAAGATGTTTTAGTGAGTTGTACACTTGAAACCTGTATGGTTTTGCAAACCAATGTCACCCCCAATAAATTCAATCAAAAAATAAAATAAAAATAGTCAATGGGACTTAGTAATTAATTTGGCAGAGTGAAGAGAGAGAATTAAATTTGATCCTACGGTTCCTGGCTAAGGTGACTGGGTGAATAGTTTTGCAATCAGCACAGATAGAAATGTAGGCTTAGAGAAAATTTGCATCTACTTCCATTTCATGAAATTGTTTTAGATTAATAACTAAAAGAGGCATAACTCACAACAAGTATCATTAGACTGGCTAGTTTTTTGTTTGTTTGCTTGTTTGTTTGTCTTTTAATCCTCACCTGAGGATATTTTCCCATTGATTTCTTATAGAGAATGGAAGAGAGAGGGAAAGACAGAAATATTGATGCATGAGAAACACATTGATTGGTTGCCTCTTGCACGTGCTCTAACCAGGGCTCAGGCCAGGGAGTATCCATAGAGCATCAGCCTTCGGACCAAGGGGTCTTAGTTCCATTCCAATAAAAGGCAGTGCCCTTAACTGGAATGGAACTAAGACCCCTTGGTCCGCAGGCTGAAGCTCTATCCACTGAGCAAAATGGCTAGGGTTAGACTGGCTAATTTTTGCAAAGAATTACCTTATCCTTATGCTGTATGATTTGGGTTATTTGTCTTTGATAGTTTTGAACTTCATAGGAGGATGGGTTCATCATTAAATGGATTTCTACTTAGATGGCTTTTTTATTTTAGACTTTTACTGCACAAGGAAGATGAAGCAAGAATGTAAATAACCCCTGAAATTTATCTCAAGTTCTAGGTCTAGCATTTTACATACTATATGGATGTTAGGGTGACCATCTAATGTGTCACTCGCATTGGGGAGTGCAATGTGCTCTTCTTAAACGTATGCAGGGATATAGGGTGTAAAACAGAACAGTCTGGGCAAACTAGTATGGACGGTCACTCAACAATACTCATCGTGTTTCATAGGGTCTTCCTTAGAGAGATGCTCCCATGTAGAGGTTATCAGGCACAGCTTGGCTATGTTGATCTGTTTTCTCAGAAATAGAGAGGGAACAGTGACTGTAAATCAGCCTTGAAAAGGTATCTATGTGTGAGAATGGGTTTTCCAGAGTTGTCCTTAATGTAAGTGAGTGCAAAAAGTGTTGCAGTTTCTGACCTGTGAGTGTGTGCACATGTGTGATTGTGTGTGCATGTGTGTGTGTGTTTTCACAGCCCTGTAAGTCCTCTTTCAGGCATGTAGACGTTTCCTTAAACTAATAAAAAAATTATGCACCTAGGTCTGGGAGAGACCTAATTGATTCTATTCTACCTGTCTTCCTCCCTTCTCCCCTGTTCCTGCCACTCCTGCCCCCCAAAATTTGCATATTGATGCTTATAAAGGAAATAATTTTTCAAAGTCACACAATGAGTCAGTAGCAGGGTAGCCTCAAAGTCTCAGACTCCAATAGAACATTCTTTGGAGGGGGGCAGGGGCATTATACTGTTCTTTAAAAATCAAACCACGTGATATAGACAAAACTATTATGCTCATTTCCAAACCTAGTATTAGACAAATCTCAGTTTCTTTGACTTTTCCCCCCCTTAAATGAGTGGTCAGTTTAAGTATTTTAAATCCTATTAAGGAATTTAAGACAGATTTTATCTCCAAACAGAGAAATCCATTTGTGGTAGATGACATCTTTAAAAGAACACTGGGTTGGTAGGATCTTTGGGCTCTGATTTGAGATCTGACAATAACTAGCTTTGTGAGCTTAGATAAATTACCTAACACATTCTGGAATAATAACCTTCTAGTTCTAGTAACTCTCATGAGCCTGTAAAAAAAATCTCTAGAGAGCCCTAGCCGGGGTGGCTCTATTAGTTGTGTGTTGTCCCATGCATTTAAAGGTTGCTGGTTCAATTCCAAGTCAGGGCATGTGCCAGGGTTATATGCTTGATCTGCTGTGGGGTGCGTGCAGGAGATAGCCTATCAATGTTTCACTCTCATATCATATCTGCTGTTGGCAGTTACCTCTTTAATATTGATCTCTTTGTGACTTTATATGGATTTTTAGGTCTAGTTTCTGCAGTGTTCAGTCTCTCTCTCCAACTCTCATCTTTATTAAGTTTACAGTTAAGGGATATGCATAGTTTTTGTTTCTTAGAGATGAAAAAAAAAATGAGACATAAGAACTTCAATGTAGTATATAATAAATTGGTGCCTAAACTGGAAACGGAGCTCTTCTTAATCTAAAGTATTTTTATTTGTAACAAAATCATGCAATTGCATTAAAATGTATAAGGTGCACTCTTTCCCACTGTGTATTCTAAACTGATAAGAAATTTGTTAGTCATTCTGCAGATAGATAGTCACCTGTGTGATGGACTTGTGAATATACAACAGAACACATTATCTGTTATCTGTATGGGACCCCTATTTAATGGGGAGGAGGTCTTTGTGATGAACATAGTAACCACAATGACAGAAGTGCTATCACAGCATCTTGGTGTGGGGAGGTCATGGGGAGGTCAAAGGAAACCAGCATCAATAGGATGAAAGGCACACATGGAGGTGAAGCTAAGGCAACGGATGGGTGTGTCTAATAAGAAGGATCTTGTGTTTTAAAATCAAGGGTTTGATCTGAATCTGGAAGTGACAGGGAGCCACTGAAGGGTTTTAAAGCGGGGAAATGACAAGACCGGTTTGTGCTTTTGAAAGATGGCAGAGTCACGAAGCCACCCTAAGCTTCAATACTACCATTTTATGTTTTCAGAATTAAACCCTTTTCTTTTTTACCTTTTCCCTCTGATGTGCCTCATGCATTTATCAATCATTCTCTAGTTTAAGGGCCAGCAAACCAAGACTAGTGGCCACAATCTGGCCTGCCCCCCCATTTATGTGGGGCCCTTGAACTAATTAGTAGATTTTAGGTTTTTAACTGGCCAGGGTTGGAGGGGAATCAAAGTAAGAACAATATTTTGCAATGCATACAAATAATATTAACATCAAAGTTCCGTGTTCATAAATAAAGTTTTGTCAGAAATAGCTACACAATCATCTATACATTGTCTACAATTGCTTTTGTTCTTACCGCAGAGCAGAGTCTTTGAGACAGAG